TGATTCATGTATGCTATATGGGGTTATTTCATGTATGTTATATTTGCAGCAGCAATATTTCTTACATGCTCACAGCAGCATGTTGTGGATGTAATGGCAGTAGCAAGTCTCGGTACGTGCTCTGCCGCAGCAACAGCGTAGCAGATCTATTCCGTCAAGACCAAATACATTAACATTGTCATGTACATTACCATGCCAATCCCTCCGAGAGTTGTCATGACAGAAATAGGATTAGAACTCATCCAGGAATAAGTCATGCGAATGAATTCGACTCACCCTTGGCACTGATGCTCCTCAGGTCGGTGATCTTCATCAGCATCTTAGGGAACATGTGAGGTTTGTGTGGCCTCCTGTTCCTCACATAGATCTTCAGTGCTTCCAGCAGCGGTTCCTGCAGTACATCCACCTTATCGGCTTCCTCCAGTTCCTGCCGATCTGCACAAACCAACAAACACCACTTCATATTCGGCTCAAAAAGCTCACAGGTTGTGGTAAGAGAGCTTATAGGCACACATTCAGACTGAGCAAATCATGGAGAATCGATGCTTTTAGGGGTGAATCTCAAGAAATCTGTCAAGAACTTTCAGGTCATCTTTCACCCCCCCAAAAAAAAAAAACTTGCTTAATTAGAGTAGATTTTTTTATTGTATTGTGACATTATCTATATATTCTAATATTTTATCCCAGAATTCTTGTTACCGTTAATGATTTAAAAAAAATCTATTTTGCATTTATTTTACAGTCTTTAATTATGATTTTAGTAAAAAAAAATATATATATATATATATATATATCAGTTATTTTTTAAATGTATTATTTTTAAATATCATAAAAACATACATTAGATAATAATCTTACATTATTATATTATTTAAATTGCACAATAAATACTAAAAGGATTTTATAAATATTGTCTTTAATAATGAAGATTTTGGAAGAAGAAGAAAAGAAAAACATTTGTTACTTTAAAAATAATTGAAAATATTTTTACTTTTTAGTTTTAAAATATCTTTATGTAAATACTTTTAATGGAAACAGGTTCTCTTCATGATAAATATAATTTCTTCTTCTGATTTTGTGGTGAAATCTGACCTGGCCATGTTTTCATGAGATTATATTATATGTTCTATGAGCATGAGAGGTGCAATGCCACCACCAAACACTGCACGGCACTAGAGGTCCATGTATCAAAAACATGGAAAGATCATGTGACACTAAAGACTAATGGCTAAAGAATAATGGCTGCTGAAAATTCGGCTTTGCCATCACAGGAATAAATAACATTTTGAAATATATTAAAATAGAAAACTTCTTTTAAATGATAATATTTCACAATGTTATGTTTTTTACTGTATGTTTCATCAAATAAATACAGCCTTGGTGAGTATGACAGACTTCTTACAAAAACATTAAAATAATCATATTATTTCAAACTCCAGCATATAACACTGTGCACCGTATGTATGAATGCAAGAAATGCCAAAACAGTACCTCCACAGAGCAGGCAAATAGCACTGAGCAGTCCCGTCTCTGCATCATCCATTTCTAGCGGTAGTAGCTGATTGGCGAAGGCGAACACCAGGTCTGTTAACGGACCGAAGCCAGCATTGTGCATCTGTGTTCGGTTCAGCGTTAACCCGTCAGAGAACGTCATAGTGTCTTGATCAGGCGTGTAGCGGGTACAGATCCTCAGAATCTAAAAACAGAAACAGAGAGGAGACGTGTTGGTCTTAACTCTGCATATGTTGATCACGAAAGGTTTTTTTGAAGAATGTAACCAAACAGTTGATGGTCCCCATTGACTTCCATAGCATTTTTTCCATACTATGGAAGTCAATGGGGACCAGAAACTGTTAACTGTTTGTTTAGCCATATTTTTCTAAATTTATTTATTTTTCACACAGGTTTAAAACAACTTTTAGCTATGCCTTTAAGTTGCCTTTCATTAACAATTTTATGATGAAGTACAAGTGCACTTTTTCACAAGGGAATGCTTGTGGGATTAGAACCTACACCCTTCAATGACTCAAATGGGACCCTCAGTCTGTTTTCAGCTTTAGTGATATAATGTAGCCCGCTGTGAGGCCAGCGCAGGCTTCGAAAAAGCTGGGTTAAGTGTGTGTTCTCACCAGTATGTCGAGGCAAGCGGCTTTCAGCAGTGTGATCTGGTCTGCGATGGTGAGGGTGGTGAATCCCGGCAGCTGCTTGGCGAACTCCACCGTCTTTATGATGCACTTGGTGGAGAGCTCGCTGAACTTATCCCACAAATCCACGTCCAGTGACACGCGTCGCTCTGAGCTGTTACTCTATACTCCGAGTGAGGCAAAATTCAAGTACATTAGACCGCTACGGTAAATGTTTAATAGCAGCATCAATAATGGCTGAAAGAGTGGCATATGAACTCTGGCTGTCAGCTTTAGTGACATCTGCTTGTAAACAGAAGCAGAATCAGCACAGAGTTCTGGGAGTTATTGGCAAACTGACACACATATACATACATTACGTGTAATCCAATGATTTCACTAGGGCTGGTGATATGGCTAAAGAATGTCAATATTTGTCAGACTTTTGATGATATTTAATGCATCTCTTAGGATATCTCTTATTTATGTCAATATTTTTTTAACCATCATTTAAGCAATGTTGCCAATGTAAAATGTTCAATGTAAAAAAATATATACTGTAAAAATCTTGTTAGAATCACTAACTGAATTCAAGGAAGAATGATCAGGCATGTGAATAGTGAAGGCCAAAAAAATTCTTCCCACAAATTTTTCTAATAAAGAAATATATTACTAATGCAAAAATAATATTGTACTGTAAAACAAAATGGAACATTTAATAATAATAATAATTTACAGAACAACAGTAAAATTACAATAACAACTAAAAATAATTATTTGTGGCTGTTTTCACTCATTAAACCATACAGCTTTTATGTAAATATACCTACATATATTTTTACTAAAGCATGTAAATGAAAGAAAAATGCCACACAGTGATGTCTGGGAACATTTTTGAGTGACGATGTTGAAAAATACATAATAAAGAAATGAGTTATGAACAGCAAAAGGAAAACCATCACAAATATAGTGAACATTTAGTATATCATTCAGCCCTCGCACGCTCTTACCGTGGTGTATTTGCCGAGTTGACAAAGCGAGGGGAAGGTCTCTTGGTGGGCTTTCCTGATTCTGTCAATCATCTGCTCTGTGTCTGGGCTCAGTGTGTAGCTTTCTGTACATTCTTGCTTTTTCTCTTCTTTCTTCTTCTTATTCCTGTCGTTCCTCACTGCTATACAGACAAAAAGACAGACAACAATGGTCAATGTTGATTGTACATATTCTAATGTCTGTTAAAGGTTCTTAAAGGGGTCATATGATGCGATTTCAATTTTTCTTTATAATAACAAGTTATACAATATGTTAATTTCTTACAAAATACAATTCTTGATCTTCAGATGACATTCAAATACGTAGATCATCATTTACATCCAACACAGATATATTAAGCTGTCCCTCTAGTCATTTGTGTCTTGAGCATATCTTTGAAAATTATAATGAATTGTACAAAAAAAAAATAAAAAATGAACTGAGTCACATTTTTGTAAGAACTATAAAATTTAGTAAAGAATATTTTGGCCCTCTTGTTAAAAATAATAAACTACATGTGCCTTGCATAATAATAATAATAATATTTAAGTTAAATTGCATAATTAATTTTAGATAATTTTTATTAAATATAATATTTTCATCAAGCACAAATAACTCAATAATAATAATAAAAATTATTAAGAAGTTATTTTTAATTGAACATTGGTGTTGTTTATAATATTAAATTCTAAAATCATTTAATCACATTTTATCATAAATTGTATGATGACGTAATTTCAGGAGAAAACGAAGTTGGCAGAAAAAAGCATGCATTTATTATTATTACTACTACTTTTTATTGAACATTGGCGTATTTTACAATATTTAAAACATTTAATCATATACTGTATTATCATCACAACATAAGTTTGCCATCACAGTGAGATGTGTGGCCATGCCATTTCAGAGAGAAATGAAGAGGGCAGAAAAGAAAAGAGATCTCAAGAAGACAGATAGGAAAGAATGAGTGATGGGTGGAAAAAAAAAAAGAGAAAACTTGC